GTTCCGTCAATGACTTTCAGTGTTTTCGTGTGTTGTACTGATTTGCTATCTAAAAAGTTAAAACATCAATTTATTTTCTTCTGTCTCTCTCTCTCTCTTACTTTCTTGCTGATGCATCATGATATTTTGCATGTGTGCGATTTCATTTCCCCCACTCTACAAGGGCGGGGCGGAGGGGTAAAAGCTCCGATTAATAATAATCTTTATTTCACGAGGGTAACTACTTCGACGATACAGCGGATAAAAGATTTTGTATTAATGGTTTACAACACTGCCTTCAGGAAATCAAGATTCAAGCGGCATATTTGCAATGTAAAGAGGCCAGTAACCTAGGTTTTGGGTAAAATGGTTTTATATTCTAAAAATTTCAGTCACAGCAAATTAAGAAGTGAAATTCAGTACCTTATTATATGAAATTYTTGTGACACTTTAATTTGGCAATTTTCAGGATTAAAACAAAACAGAAACAAAACACGAAAGTGTCACGAAAAACAATTGTATCGAAAATACCCTTACAGAAGACCTACAGAATTGGAACTGAGGCCTCTTTACCACAATGCTTTGTTCCGCGTTTCTTACGTAAAATGTTTCTTAGTTTCGTGTAAAACTTATTCTTTTCAACTTTCATTTTTTTAAACAAACATCTCTGAAGAGGAACAATTAATCTATTGTCAAACGAGGGAAATAGTGCCTTGTGGAATTTGTTAAATTTAAATGGTCTATCATGAATAACACACCTAATAATAATGTCAATTATAAACGCTGCAAAGATATATCATTTAGTACGTGACCGTTAAAAAGCGGGTGTATCAAAGACAATGTTACTGTTCAACATAGCATTTTCACCAATATTGATTCAGATAAACGCTGAATGATTAGCAAAGAGAAATCATTTACTACGGAATTATTTACCTTTTGCTTTACGTATAAATGTCTTTTGGAAACAAATTAGGATTCTATAATTTTGTTGTGTGTGAATTAAGTGTCGCAAAAATAACATGAAACAAACCTAGGATAGCCAGGGTATCTAAGCCGTAAGGTAGGGTTGGTTAGCCGAATTTCAACAAACAAAATGGTAAATCGCAGTATGATATTGGCGGTAGAGTGCACGCACTAAATCCGTGAACATTAATTAGTACTAATTAGTACTATCTCATACAGAATCCTTTGTTTCTATTGTTTGTATATCACCATTTAGTACTAAAAGTTAGTATTTGTTTCACGGGTTTAGTGCGTGCACTCTAATCTTGATTTCAAAATCTATTGCTCATTTATAAGAATGGTTAAGTTATTCGTGATACAAGAAGTTTGTCAACCGATCTGGATAAAAAGTTGAACCGCCCTAGGTACCTATCGAACAGACAGGGTAGCCCTACTGACCGGTGACCCGGCTGCGCTCGTTAAGTCGTTAAAATAAATAAGAGAAAAGTAATAGGGTAGCCCTATTACTAGGGCTAGTAGCTATTACTAGAAGTAGGGTTACCCTCCCTCCTTGTAATGAAGCCCAACTGAACTTTAAATAGATAGATGGACGTATGAACTCTGAGCTTAGAAGGATACGCACTAGTCGTAACGAAAACAGCAGTATCAACGTCCACGTGCACTGACACTGAATGGACGGTTTTTGGCGCGGTGCCCATGGTAGTGGTAGTGACACCAGGGRAAAACGTTTGCGCATGCGTGCACTTCAGCACGTTTCCTAAGAATTTTGAAGAGTTTGAGTGAGAAAATAAATGTTTGACAAACACAATATGAAAGAATTAGCCTTAAGTTTCAAGCATGGACACTAAGTTTTGACATTTTGTGAAGTCCAATTTATCAGGCATGTTTGAAAGTCAAATTTACATATAAAAAAACCCTGGAGTCTTTGCAACGAAGATCGTATATGAGTAACGAATTAATTTATTCCGGATCCAAAACGTAAAACACTTCTATAAAGTTTTTTGTACATGCTTCTTCAAACTTGGACTTGTTTGTAGTTCTGCATTTTGCAAGTGACCAGGAAGACGTTGGGGTCACATTTTTAGCCGGCTTTATTTTAACAGTTACAGACGCAGTTGGAGATTTACGTGTTTATTGCTTATCGTGTACCGCAAGTAGTGATCAGAAAGACTTATGGRGAATATTTGCAGCTGACAGGGTGCCTAAGAAAGCCGTAGAAAGCCGCTGTCATCTTTGTTTTGCTATAGTAACAATCTCTGGATCATTTACATCGTAAGCTGGCTCAGGACGAGGATTCCAGAAGTCCTTTTCTATTTTAGATAAAACATGTTCATGAAAAAAATGAATTGACGAATCATTGAAGATGTCCTTTAGGTAAAAAGTGTTGGGTATATTAACTTCTTGTAGGTGTGGAAGAATCTTGGAAGAATGAGTTAAGGCCAGTTTTCCTTAATATCTTTTCGTACATTATATTATGTCGGCGCAATACTGTGTACACATTTAAGCATTGTAATTGGATTCCATGGTGTGCACTTTTGTCGGGTGTTCGATTCAGGTTCAGAGTGGAAAACCTTTTGAGTGTCAAGTACTGGGCAGTTTCAAGACAATCACGTTCGTAACATACTTCATATCAAAGGATACTTTAGCTATGTACATGACTTCACTATTAAGTTGTCTTGAAGGCAACCTAAAAAAGAATGGAATACATCAAGAATATATATTATACAGGCACCTCATGACACTATCACAGGAAATCCATAAAGGGCGGCAAAATGATAACAAAACGGCATCTCAAATTGACAGAAATATATTTGAGAGCTTCAAGTAAACCAAGTGAAAGTTTATTTAGATAAATGTTTTTAGTTATAAACACATTTTCTTTTATTTGTGCAAAAGGGTGTTGGGGGGGGGGGGGGAGCGCGACCAGGAACCCCCTCACCACCCCTGATATGCCCTGCACTCTAACTGTTGCAAGCAAATGTGGGTTGCTTTCCTGGTCCTTCCTGGGCCCTTTAACTAAYGCAACCTTCTTTGGCAAAACAAATAAATTTTAACAGACGTACATGTAACTAATCAAACAAAACTGAACAAAAAGTCAATGAAACTTCAATCGATTGATCATTGTATGGTTGGTTTAACAATCAGACATAATCAAAATGGGATGTTTTGGTGAGTTGGAT